CACTGAGAGCCGGAAAGTTTCTGCTTGAAGCTGCTGAGAACGAGCATCCAGAGCTGCTCGTTCTGCTGCCATCCGGGTTTCCACCGCGGCTAGATTTTCCTTGGCTTGCACCATCTCCTCCCGCACGTGTGCCACTTCAATGTCATGCTGGGCTTTATCTGCCGGTTCTACCACAACGGTTAGCAGAATCATCAGCCTATCCATGAGGTCTATTAGAACCTGAGCCGGGGGGCGCGCGGGGTCTCCTGACCCGGCTGCTGCCGACCCGGTAGCTGCTGATGCTGTTGTGGTGGAGTTCTGCCCGAGTTGCGTCCCCGCCATGAAAACTCTGACCCAATTCGGCGGCTCAAGGGGGCCCGGAATACTACTGCTATCGGAACAGTCCCCGAGCATGCCGTCTTGCAGCTGGTACAATGAGTCCGTCTCACCTGTTGATGATGCAGTATCAGAGCAGATGGCCATCTCCCCGCCTTCCATAGATCCTTCGAAGTATTCACCGCCATGGACGCAGCCCACGAAGGCATGTTTCACGACAGATTGAACACGGGCGGACCCGCCGCGCTGAGCCATTTCGATGAGGTTGGTGTGGACGTCCGGCTCAGGGCCTGACTCGCCGATCTGGCCGATGAAGACGTGAATTCCGCCGAAGGGGACCCGGTACCCGTACTCGATCGAGCCGGCCTCGGGGCTCCAGCCTTCATCGTCGATGTAGAGTTTGCCGCGACGACTCTTGGTCATCCGGCCCACATCGTATCCCTTGAGCCCTTTGAAGTTTCCCTTTAAGAACTCAAATCCACCGTGCGCTTGTCCCACGGTGGGCACCAACTGTTGTGGAGTTGACACGGCAGATGTCCTAGAGCAAGGACTTAGTCGTAGGGCCATCGCACTAGGAAGCTTAAAGGGGTTAAACGGGACAAAGGACACACGAGAGAGTTTTTATACGAGTTCGGCCCCTTAGGATGAAGGTAAAAGCCTACGTCTAGTTGGGATTGGTATTGCTGAAGTTTCGATCTCCAAGAGGTTTATCTCGCCGGCTTGGTTATCGACTTGGTTCTTTCTTGTCCTAAACCGCCACCGGGTCGTCCCCTTATATACACGGGTTGACGCCTGGTGGCCTACAGAGTCCCGGCAGGCTCATAATCGTGTCCGGCTCGGTGACTTCCTTTACATGCCATTCTTTACAAGTCTTTCCTTTCATACGGCGGTTTACAGTATCAGGCCTTAAGCCGGCCCCAGGCCTTTGGGCCTTCTATACGTTTAGTAAACTATCATCTTGAATGTTTATCGGGCTTCTTATGTAACCCGCCATTAGGGCTGACCCGGCCCCTCCTGGGCGGGTCATACTGGTAGTAATATCCCCAACAGAATGAAACCTTCAGGAACATGATTTTCTCAACGAACAAGACCCAGGAGACTTGGACCCTACGTCAAGACACAAAAGAGGAGGCCACGAGGTAGGGGGCGCGCCTACCCCCCAAGGTGCGCCCTCCACCCTCGTGGGCCCCTGTTGCTCCACCGATGTACTCCTTCCTCCTATATATACCTACATACCCCCAAACGATCAGATACAGAGCCAAAACCCTAATTCCACAGCCACAACTTTCTGTATCCACGAGATCCCATCTTGGGGCCCTGTTCCGGAGCTCCGCCGGAGGGGGTATCGATCACGGAGGGCTTCTACATCAACACCATAGCCCCTCCGATGAAGTGTGAGTAGTTTACCTCAGACCTACGGGTCCATAGTTAGTAGCTAGATGGCTTCTTCTCTCTTTTTGGATCTCAATACAATGCTCCCCCCTCTCTTGTGGAGAACTATTCGATGTAATCTTCTTTTTGCGGTGTGTTTGTTGAGAACGATGAATTGTGGGTTTATGATCAAGTCTATCTATGAACAATATTTGAATCTTCTCTGAATTCTTTTATGTATGATTGGTTATCTTTGCAGGTCTCTTCAAATTATCAGTTTGGTTTGGCCTACTAGATTGATCTTTCTTGCAATGGGAGAAGTGCTTAGCTTTGGGTTCAATCTTCCAGTGTCCTTTCCCAGTGACAGTAGGGGTAGCAAGGCACGTATTGTATTGTTTCCATCGAGGATAACAAGATGGGGTTTTCATCATATTGCATGAGTTTATCCCTCTACATCATGTCATCTTGCTTAAGGCGTTACTCTTTTTTCATTAACTTAATACTCTAGATGCATGCTGGATAGCGATCGATGAGTGGAGTAATAGTAGTAGATGCAGGCAGGAGTCGGTCTACTTGTCTCGGACGTGATGCCTATATACATGATCATACCTAGATATTCTCATAACTATGCTCAATTATGTCAATTGCTCAACAGTAATTTGTTCACCCACCGTAGAATACTTATGCTCTCGAGAGAAGCCACTAGTGAAACCTATGGCCCCCGGGTCTATCTTCATCATATTAATCTCCCAATACTTAGTTAGTTCCTTTGCTTTTATTTTATTTAGCATCTTTATCATAGAAATACCAAAAATATTATCTTATCATATCTATCAGATCTCACTCTCGTAAGTGGCCGTGTAGGGATTGACAACCCCTTATCGCGTTGGTTGCGAGGATTTATTTGTTTTGTGTAGGTACGAGGGACTGGCGCGTAGCCTCCTACTGGATTGATACCTTGGTTCTCAAAAACTGAGGGAAATACTTACGCTACTTTGCTGCATCATCCCTTCCTCTTCGGGGAAAACCAACGCAATGCTCAAGATGTAGCACTATGTCTTCGCACTCCATAGTCTTCAAGTGAATGTCTTCACAGGTCATTATCTTCGAGTGAATATCTTCACGAACCACCATTGTATTTAATGTCTTCATGCATTTTTATGGGTCATCTCTGGTAGGTAAACCGAATCAATGAGGGACTACTACCTGTGTTATCCTGCAATTCTCACAAACACATTAGTCCCTCAACCAAGTTTGTCGTCAATACTCCAAAACCAACTAGGGGTGGCACTAGATGCACTTACACCAATATGCATGCCGCTTTGGCTCCTCAAACGTTGGCAAGGTATGTGGCATTCTAATCATCTTGTTTTGCAAGAGAGTATCAAATATCTTTATAAAACTTGGATATATCAAAAGTAAATTCCATCTCCTCATCATGGTTCTCGCAAATCAGCTTAGGCGCATTGCATGTATAAGGTTTGGCCTTTAAGGCAAAACAAATTCAGTGCTATAGGCATCGACCTCATCGTCCGAATGATCATCATTATACTCAAATATATGCATTAGAGGACGATCGGTTATAGACCTATGAACCTCTTTACTTCGACTATCTTGGGCCAAAGGTTTTTATAAGACTTGGTTAATATTTAAGAACTATAACTTTCTAGCCTCTCTTCAATGTGGGTTTTCAAACCATTAAGAATAAGATCCCCCAAGTCTTTCTCGGTTATCATTAAGCTATAACATCGGTTTTTTATATCTCTAAATCTCTTGACATAATCGGTGTCTGATTCATCATGACTTTGTCTAATCGATGTAAGATGTGACAATTTTATCTTATTATTTTTGAGTGATCCTGAAGCTTTTGCTCTAGTTGCGACCACAATAGAATAGATCCATGTGACAAAGGAAAAAATTAATCAAGAAACTGCAGTGCTAGTTAAAGATAGGGGAAATAAACATACTTTCAGTTTTTCTATGGAACTTCCTATACCCAACTGTGTCAGATATTGACTAGCATGCTCCCACATTGTTTTTCTCCCCTCACCACTAAATTTAACAAAATCAAGAACCTTATAACCTTGAGGGTACAAAACGACATCGAAGTTTTCAAGATAAAGCTTTTGGTACACATGACTCCTTAATTTTGGCTCGTTTTCAGAAGTTTCTTGAAATATCTTATGCAAATATTGCCATAATTCGTTTAAAATTGGATCCGAGGTAGATGAAGATGCTTGTGGCGACAACATAGGAGCAACATGAGTACTATGTAAGGATGCAATTTGCGGGGCACGCGTTGAACCATAATTATTATTAACGGGGTGTGTACACCCATAATAATTACCACATATCAACAAATATTATTATCAAGCAAACCGCGGGGAATGGAGGAGATGACGACCATGAGAACAGAGGAGGAGGCAGTGGCAAATCTAGGGGGAAGAGCTGATATGCAACATTTTTACAGTTCTATCTCTTAACAACCCACCTAAATAAATACAGAACATGCAGAGCATCTTGGAACTTGGAGCATTGTGAACTTGCATCATTGACTATTCGTCACCCTGGGTGAGGAATACTTGTTCTTCACACCCCTCTATTTTAACATCAATGCGCCATAATTTTTCGTTCCACAATTTTTTTCTTATTTCAGACGTAAAAATAGAACGCAAGAAATATATAATCGTTGTAAAAAATATTTTATGTTAGGTAAACATAGTATAAAATGTACATAAAATGCAATTTTTCTTGTCTTATGATCTATTTTTTCCTTATGCCAATTTTTTCGCAGTGAATCAATATGAATGTAACTATTTGTATTAAATACAATTTATATATGAAATGATCGTAAGAAGAATAAGTTATTCTACATCCTGGGTGATGAATAGACCTTCTATATATAGGACATGTTTCGTGTGCACCAAGCCAGGTGGAGTAAATTTGCCCGAAGAGTTACCCTGGAATGAGAGGTATTGCTGCCCCAACATGATTTGGAAAGACGTAGACAAGAATACAAATCACTAAGGGACACCAATTCTTGATTGAGTTGTGATCGATGATAATAGGGGATTGTAGTTGGAGCCAAGGTCACACAACACATAGTTGACCACATCCTCTTTGTCAAGAGGAGATACTAGCATGGCATAGTATGGACGACTTCCTTTACTTTGTTGAAGTAGTCGATTAGTGAGAGACATTATTCTTAGAATTGCCAATTACATGCGGACTTGGAAGGCCTTTGCCTTGAATTGAGAGGAGAACATGCACCTCAAGGTAGAACAGGGCTCGGGTACAGTTTACATGGCCGGCACCTACTTGAATATTTCAGGTGATATTGACGCAAGCATGGAACTCCACATCGCTTGGTCTTGCCCAACCAATGTTTCACACTCGGGGTGTGACACCTTCTCGGTTCCACCTATATCATTGTTGCTGACAAGCTCCTTGGGAGGAGACACATTGGACTGGTCGGTGTACCTGAGGACCTGATTGCCGTGCATGCATGGTAGTGCCTGATTTTTGCAGGGAAAAAAGTCAGAGCTGCACATTTAGAGACAACACAAGCATGTTCGGTTTCTATAACACGATTAAACTGTTATCAACACATCAACTAGGTATGCCATCCCAAAACCTGTTACTATAAATTTGTAGGTGACTATAGAGTATAGACCGAGATCAATCAACATTTTTTCATACGTTGATCATGTGTTGAAACCAACATGGAGAAGACAATAGCTAGCTAATTATTTTTTTCCACCCCCAACATGTCGTCAATTAATAATTGGATATCATGTACCATCCATGGGATGTTTAATTTATATAGTTATCTATATATATTTTGCACAAATCAATTTACTCTCATACCAAGGCTCCCAATCGCTCAGAAACCCTTGAAACGTCTATGCCAATTCTAGAGCTGAAGGCCTGCACGAAGTAGAGAGAGGAAATGCAATTACTTGATGCAAAAATAGTCAACTTTTTAGTTAGATATTTAGTTGGAGAAATTTAACACATCACGCAATACAAAATGAATCACATTTAATTAAATTTGTTAGACATTTTAGCCACTAGAGATA